AAAAAAGAAAGTAACCGGATTTTATCATTACATTAATTAGAACGCACATGTCCTAACGTCACGATGGAAACTGTATTCGGACAGGCCAGACTTCCGATGACTGAAGTTGGAATCGTTATTGACTCGGAAGAATTGTGCCCAGAGGAAGATTCTGAAGGTAGGGTAATGTGTAGTGGCATATTTTCACAATTTCCAGGGGTGGGGGTAGGACGACTATTCTAATGGACTTTCCATTCATGATTTCTTCAAAAATGTATTGTTACAGTTACTGAATACCGAAAACCATCTCTAAACCTTTTTATCTGACATTGAAAGGTAATCTATTTCAAGATTCACCGACCACAACAAAAAAATGAAAGTTCTTTTTTATGTGGAGTAGTGAAGAAGTTATGCACTATGAAGCCACAATAGTCTAAAATAAATATGAGGAAAATTGTTATTAACCAATTATCGAAGTACGAGTTGAACAAGTACATGAAATATTTTTCCTGTGAATTTTATTATAGGAATATGAGACACACGCCCTCTAACATAACATGTTCCATCGATTCAAACTCCCCACTGCTATTTTTTTCTCATTCCCTTTAATTTATCGTATGCATATAATAAGTTGAGTCCTGTCAGATAAACAATGTAGCATTGATATTGACTTTAATCTTTAATCGATTTCAGCTTGGCTGTTATGGGTTACAAAGAAATACGACTTTTCAACCAATAGCAGTTCAGAGTTTTCTAAGGGTGTAAATCAATCAGCTTTCCCTCCCCAAATGTCAGAGGTAAAAATGTCAGAGGTAAAAATGTCAGAGGTAAAAGCAAAACAAATGAGTGCCGTCATAATATCTCAGCACTTTTATCACACAGAATGTCGAGAGATACAGCTACTGCATGGGCTAGTCCATTATATTCCTTTCTTCCATAATGTACATTTTATAAATGGCTGTGTGTTGTATTTCGTACATGTCCTGAGGATAATACAATGTGGAAAATATATTTTGAAATATTTTTTTTGTGTGATCAGGCTTGCATATATATGTATGAATGTCTAACATTTTTTGATATCTTGAATTGGTTAATGTGTTAATGTTTGTGAAACGGACCGGTTTGGCCGGTGGCAGCCTACAACCTAGCCCGTGTAACGTTCCAGAGACGAACAAAGTCCAAACGAAGAAACGAAAGTTCTCGACAAAAGTCAAGTGTTAAAGTGAGTAGTGCATTCAGTACAAATTATTACATATAATCACGAGGAATCACGAAAAGTTACATAAATAGGCTGGGCGCCCCGAACTCTGCAAAAGCTTTAGCACCTCATGGCGGCAAAGGAAGTGGAGTAAGAATGAGAAAAACCAAGAAATCGCCCGAAAAGTGAAATCTCGCTCCGAAAACTAAAAACCAGCTCCAAAAAGTAAAAGACCGTCTCGATTCAGAAGCTCATCCCTATTTAAAACCCTCCGACACGTGTGACCCCTTATAAGGGCGTGTCACTACGACATAATCCCCGGCACCATACACACCCATGTCGAAAGGAACTTTATTAATTTTGCGAACTTAACCTCCAGAGTTGAGCTTTCCGGCAATACTCATCGGCCTCGTAACTTACATAACTCTCACATTTGTGCTCTTTCGATCTTTAACTCTTTCACTCGACATCTTTATTAAATCTGAAGAACGTAAACGGGCCGGAAATATAACAATCCTGAAGGCAATTATTTGAATGATAATCGGAGCATGCATTGACAAACTTACGAACTCGCACAGAAACATTCTGAACTAGAGCACAACAGTCTTATAGTAACGATGAACCTTAACAACAAGCTACCCCCCCCCTCAAAAAAAGAAAGTTGTTTACTCCATTAACTATTCCGTTGAATATAACCCAATGTACACCCATCTTTCTTGTTTCCCTTTTGCCAATATTGTTTCCTCCATATTTGTATTATTATGTATCCATTGAGGGTAGTCATCGAAAGAAACGGTGTGGAAGCAATCAGAAAAGGTTGATCATTTAGCATAAACATGTAAGTATTGGTGGGTAGTGCAAGGTTTTGGAGTCATCAAAATGAAAAAAACCTTGGCCCAGTCTTGGTAAAGTAACAAGCACTGTACACATAAAGATATTGATATGGGACTATACACAAACATATGGCTTACAAATCGGGCCTCATTTTAAAGCTGTTACTTGTCATATCTGGCATATGAAGTCCTTTGAAATAGATTTTCAGGGAATAACTTTTTTCTTTGATGTTCTTCCACACTTGCATAATAAGAATGATAACAAACTCTCACAAATTATTGTTCACCTTTCCCCAGAACTCAAACTTCTCTTTAATTGATGTAACATGGGCGGCTTTCTGCTTTGTATCGAAGTAACAAAGCTGCTTATTGATTTTCTCCCAGACTATTTTATACCGCAATAGTAATCGACAATATTTTATTGCAACGCGCGCACTTCTGGAATGTGATGGTTTTGGCATTGATAACATGGCTTTCTGCTTTGTTTCAGAGTATCAAAATACCAAGCCCACAAGAAAGTGGAATTGTCGGAAATATGCATTTATTGGAAATTACATATAATAGTAGTCATTGCCTGCCTGCTCTGCCTAGGCATTGACCACTGTTCGGAAGGATATATAAAGCAAAGCATATTATAAGAGGAAGGGGGAGAGCAGCCGGGTCACCGTGCCCCAGAAGAAGAATACCCTCCCCCCGTCTTCCTTCGGCAATAATCGGGCAAAAAGTCACAATTTGGGGCCGAAAGGTAAATACATTTAAACTGGGAAAGTGGAAAATAAAGCAGCGGTGAAATAACGACTGCAGAATATCCCTCGCTGTTCTTTTTCGATAAACCTAATATATAACCCAGGTGTAACCATAACAAACTTGCAACATGATTTTGTTTTTATTTTATACCTCTAACATTTATTCCTCTGACATTTTTACCTCTGACATTTTTACCTCTGACATTTTTTCCTCTGACATTTTTACCTCTGACATTTTTACCTCTGACATTTTTACCTCTGACATTTTTTCCTCTGACATTTTTACCTCTGACATTTTTACCTCTAACATGTTTACCTCTGACATTTTTTCCTCTGACATGTTTACCTCTGACATTTTTTCCTCTGACATTTTTACCTCTGACATTTTTTCCTCTGACATGTTTACACCGAGCCTTTCAATGGTTAAAATATAAAAATAGTTAATTAGATAGTTAATTTAAGTTCGCTTTCCAAATTTGGAAATGTCAAGCCTTTTTTTGTTTCGATTAAATCGCTTTTATGTTTGAGAGAGACAATGTACTGCACAGAAATTTATTCAAAGTTTTCAGCGACATTTAGCGTCATCTATTTGAGAAGCGCTTAAACTGCATTGGGTTCATGAATCAATCGATAGTACCGAAACAGAGAAACAGTTTATTTGCAAATGGTGGCACCATTTGCTTGTCTGATTTCGTTTAATAATTTATTGTGTTAACATTTTTTCACAAGGAAAAACATGAATTTCATGCTGTATCAGCATGATCAGTAGCAGAGATAGCAAAATGTATTCAAATGATGTTTGTTTCCCTCTTTTCCCTTTATTTTGTAAAATATGTTCTCTTCTTTAAGGCCTTGCGGCACCAATTGTTAGAGCTGTTTGCCAAGTTTCAAGTAACGGCACAACTTATTGGAACACCAGCATCAGATGTCAAGATGATATCACTCGACAATTAAAGAGAAAACTGATGGCAAGTTACACTATGATTACTTTAGATGCTTTCAGATATGAAGAGGTAGATCGCGGCGATTTGTATTAACGTGTGCATGAAAGGCAATTGCGTGCAACAGAGTTTCGATGGCTTTCTCAGTTCTTCGCGACTTAGGGTAACACGAAGTTTCGTGACTAATCGAGCCTTAACTTCAAAATGGTCTGGTTTAATGTTTGCGAATAAAAAAGACCCCGTACTTGTTTAATTCACCCAACACTTTTTGATAAGCCTATACAGCAAATCCACGAGAATTGGCGTCTCGACCCGACTTTATAAATACGAAATAAATAATCCCGAGAGGGTTCGTAAAAAGGCAAGCGTTCGACAATTCGCCATTATCTGATCGTATTGGCATGTTTATCACAAAAAATGTACATGTAAACAGATAAGCCCTTTTTCTAGGACAATCTTTGAAAACGTTCTGATTATCTGCATTCAGTTTAATCGACCTTTCGTGAATAAAGGGGCATGTTTTCACAAATTATTGTGTAGCCCGACGTAAAGCCCGGGCGTGAAGCATCCGACCTTTTGTGAATATAGGGTACGTTTTTATAAAAGGTTGTGTAACCCGACAAGCCGACTCTACGCGAAGATCCGATGGAACAAAATAAGCCTGCGCGTATTTAACCTCATCATTATAAAATAGGGGCAAACGCCGCTGGCTACCGCCTCATATTTAAACGAGGCTTAAGAAATATAGGTTAAGGGGGCAAAATAATAATCATAATACAAAAGTGATAATGTAATCGTCTAACATCCGTTATTATATTGTCAATGTCATGAATGTAAAATGGATAGTACAATTGGTATACAAAATTATTAATTCCGTTATAAAAATATTCATTACAATTAAAGCTTCTTGGGCGAAATTTAATTAATCTCTAGTTCCTACCCCCCCCCCTTATTAGCTCTCTATTTCTTAGTCGCATCTCATCAATTACTCAGTGGTTCTTCCTACCTAACCCCTGCTTAATAAATCGTATGCCCCTATTTTTCATGAAAGAACTTTGGGATTTCTAATCTCAAAATTGTTATGGTCGGATGGCGAACCTTCTCAAATACTCCCATCCTGGATAAATGTTAACTACAATTTTGCAGTGTTTTATTAATCTGATTTGTTTCCAGTAAAAAAGAAACATGGCGGTCTGGAAAGACAAGATTTAGCATGAATGACAACATTTAGTCCAGACCCCGCCCCGCCCTTTCCTCTAAAAATGTTTTTGCAACGCCACTGCAAGTTAATTTCGAGGGCTGCAAAAATAAAAGTCCACGCTCACCTATTGTTGTTATGTTATCAAAGAATTGATGTGTTTTGCAGTAAATATTACAAACGACTGATATGTGTGTCTCTTTATACTTGAAGAACGGGATAAATGAATCTAATGTGAAAGATGTTGCTGAACAAGTTTTCACAATAACCAAAAATTATGAGGACATTACAGCTACCGACATTTGCTTCCTGTATGAGATCCTGCAGCTCATAGTTGACCTAAACTCTGATGCAAATGTGAGTTCATGAGTCATTACCCTTCCTTTCACATACCTAGGACCAAATCATTTCACGTAGAGAGATAAAAAAAATGAGGATGTTCAAACACATCTGTATTGCTGAGTGTGAGAGAGAAATTCTCAATATTATAATTGAAAATAATGCAATGTAAGGTGAATGATAAATTTGTTGATGGTATACTTTATATTAGTATTATAGTAGAGTCGCAATGGCTCAGTGGTAAAACATTGGTTTCTTAATCGGGAGGTCCGGGGTTCGTAACCAAGACGATGTGCTGGTGCCCATTGATTGGTAAGGCATTATTAAATCATCATTACCAAGTCCCTGGTTGGTTACTTACAAGCATTCGCATCCTTAATAGCAGCCAGGTAAAACAATAATCTATTAAACCTAACTTATAGTTAAGGGTCTAAAATAAGAAGCTTGGCCTACTCTCAGACTCCTGCACATTCGTGTATCCAATTACGGTTTGTGATGTTTTGACGTATCTCGTTTGTAATGAACGAAGAAAGTCTAATGTCAGTTGTTGTGTAATGATATTTACCTTGTCTTGTATAGATAACTGGTCTTATAGTTGGAATAGTAAACAACGTGATGTTTCTCGACGAAGATGTGCTAGCCTCTGCCCAAGAGAATGGGAGTTGTACTGCCCTCATCGTACAGGTCTTGGAATCTCAGTTGAATACCGTCGTCGTTGGTAACAGCACGTTTGATGCAGCTTATCCTAATATAGCAGTTCAGGTAAACTAGACCCGAACTGTAACATATCTTTACATTCTTTCTGCCCACATTGACTTCTATGAATTGGACAGATATGTATAGAGCAGTTCAAGTAAACACTGTAAACTAGACCTTAACTCTCAAAAATCTGTTCATTCTTTCTGCCCACATTGACTTCTTTGAATTGTGTAGATGCGTATATAGCAGTTCAGGTAAACTATACCTTTTTTTTTCTCCATTTTTCTCTTTTAATTCCAACAAAATACAATACATAATAACGAATACAATGTAAAATGTATACAAAACATAGTTACATTTGTAATAAACAAATCTTTACAGTAATGTATACATTTTATTTTGAGGAAGACAAAAATTGAACAAAAAAAATTAACTGTATCTATATTTTGAGGAAATGATGTTATTACCAAAGAAAAGAAATGTCAGTCACTCAATAGTGTCTGACATTGAAGTCTAGAGAGTAAAGGGTTTCCTTCCAAAATTTGAATACTAGGGCACTGCTATAGTTCACAGATAGGACATTTATAACATATTCATAATTCCTCCAAAGCTGTACAGCCTTTGATGTTGGTTGCAAAAGGGACATACTATCTTCAAAACACGTAATGACTGGAAACAAGTAGATACAAAAATACACGACGAAGAAAGAACAGAAAAAAAGAAAATATGGACTGCGTCGGAGGAAAGGAGAGTAGATTTGCCGCGGCAGCCAGGGGGGGGGGGGGGTGTACAATATCTACGGCCAATAGCAAATATAGGGCCGCCGCAGCACTCCCACGGTCACATACTGTAAAAGTCACATATTATGTTTAGGGTAGCCGCACGACGTATTTCGAATTTGTTGAGACCGTCAAAAAACCCAGATATAAAAAAAGTTATAGCTCCGCGCTATAATAATATGACAAATTAATATAGCGCTTGTGACAAAAGTTTCAAAGCGCTGTACATGTACACAAATCAAAATTACTTCAAACAAAATCAATATTACTAATGGAATTAACATTACTCAAATTACCAAGAAAACAAAATATTACCTACATGACTTAACCAATTATCATTACTTAAATTAACAAGAAAATCAAATATTTCTATCATAACTTAACAAATTGATATTACTTAAATTACCAAGAAGATCAAACATTACTAACATTACTAGAGAAATTAACAAAACATGTAAATTCCTTGGAAATTAACACATTATATCAGTAATAGTAATAATTTGAAAAGACATAATGAAGGCATGGTAATATTTATTCGAACTTATTTTAGAGTTATTTGGGTGGCTTTTAGAATAATCCCACGGCGACCCCTACGGCCTGTAAAAGATACGCCCTTATATAGGATGACCCTGAGGCCAACGCAGATCTTTTGCGGCTGCCGCGGGTATCTCTCGATTTCGGGGGCCTACGGCCGCCTTATCCTAGTCGTATATAAAATGTGACCTAGGCATTAGGCATAACTCTCACAAATCTGTACATTATTTCTGCCCCCATTGACTTCTATGAATCGTGTATATTCGTATATAGCAGTTCAGGTAAACCAGACCTTATCTCTCACAAATCTGTAAATTGTTTTTGCTCACGTAGACTGTTGTGTGAGAGTTTGTAGATGCATGAATCCAATTACACAATCGTACATGAGTTGTATAATCATCTTCGTTCTCTAATCAAGTGTGCTAAGTTTGAGGGCTTTAAATGATTGACCTGTCGAATGGGTTTCCGAAGGCGTGCTCCGTGCTCGCGGATAAAAAAAGGGTTTGTTTATTCGTTTGAAAAGGGCAAGAAACACCCCGAAAAGGGTTCATATTTTCAAACGCGTGAATGTGTGTGTATATTGTGATTTTCTGAAAATATGGTGTATTTTTGTAAATGTGTACTCAATGTTTATTGCATACTTATAACTGCACACACTTTCCTGTAGGTGCTTGACGTACCTTCAGACACTGCTGGAGACGGCACAGTGATCACCATGTTAAGTATGGACACCGGTTCCTTGAGCAACAGTGACATCATGGTAGGAACACACCAAGACACACCTACTGACTCTGTCCCAAGAGACACCTTTGCCAGGGTTGTTGTACCCATCGAGGTGGGAGAAAGCGCCATTGAGTCTCTCAGGGTTGCTTTCGTTGTGTATGCCAATGATGCCATGTTTCCTTCTCCAAGTATTGCACTACTCAACCGGGAGATTGGTACACCAGTGGTGTCCTTAACAATCGGCGGACAGAAGATAGAGAATCTCATGGAGCGTGTCAATATCACTTTCTATAGATTCAAGGTAAGCATGGTAAGCGATGTACTGAAGAGTTGTAAGACAAATGCTCCGGTGACAAATACTCTTATAATATGTCAGTATCCCATTATTAACAAAATTCGTAACTTCGATCTTGGACCAAAGACTATACCTATACATCTAGTCCTAACACTAAACATAACACAATAATCACTCGGAAACTTAACCCCACCACTATACGAAACACACCCTGAGCAATCGTCATCAGCTGGAGCATATTCTCATTAGAAACGGGTGGTAATAATAACAACACTGACTGGTGTGTTAATAAATCAATATATAATCAGTTAGTCGACTTTGTCAAGGGTTTCTATGTTGATATTTCAAGAACTTTAAAGAAGGAAATGAAGAAAAAGATACTTCTTATAAGATAAACATAGCACACTTGTTAAAAACACCTTGTCCCATTTGCAGACCAAAACAATGAAAAGGTTAATGAAAACGGCATTTGAAATATAATACTAATTTAGAACTTCCATCAAAACAAAAGAGATTATAATTGTACATGTCGTAAACAGACATGTTCTAAGTTGTGCTGCCTGTGGATGTGGGCAGCATGTCTCTAACATCTTATATATTATAAAGATATCGTTATTTTATTTACTGCTTTCAGCCTGACTCTCACGATCCAACCTGTAACTTTTGGGAGTTTATTCTTGGTCATTGGTCTATGGTGGGATGTCAACTGTTACCTGATAATGCCGTGGTCGTCAATATCTCCAGTGATGAATACTACACATGCGCCTGCGACCACCTGACCAACTTTGCTGTTTTAGTGGTAAGTGATTCCTTCCACATGTTCAAAAATATCGCTTTTTTCCCTCAAACTAAATGAGTAGTGTGCTAATGTAGTCACACTAAACTAAACAACTAAGTAAACATGAGACTGCCGTTGAATTGATAGGATCATGCATGAACTGTTGAGGTTTATCAGTAAAAGATACGTGTACTTTTTTATTGTTTGATAATTCCCTTTATTGGTCATTCTTCTTCACCATTTAGCAAATCGAAATAATGCCGAACAGACGTGTAATTAGCTTTTACACTTTTTAAACCAAAAATTATGAACAATGCTCGATTAGCTTACTTCCCATTAGGTCCTGGACTGGGGGGATGTTTTATTCTGTGTTCCTAACGGAAAGCAAGTATTTTGGTTTAAAGGACAAGCGATGAAGGTAGAATAGGTCAGTCGTTCCCAATATCTAGCAAAGTCTGAGCCAGGGAACCATAACTCGGGACGGCCAGATATCACCATTCTTTTTTATCTAGAGGCCTCTAGTTCCCTCAAGGCGTGAGTTCGGTTTAATGATTAAGTGGTTTAAAGGTTAGAAAGGTTGGATTTAATCAAGAGACATGGGTAGTGAATGAATTAAATACTTTCGTGACAGGTACATTGCACGCAAGAAGTTATAAAGTTAATCACATTTTATGGAAGAAGGGATTGTTATCATCACAATGTTCACAATTATGATAGATAAAATTGAATGGGTTGACGCGCTTTAAAACCAATAGCAGATTTTACCTGTTACTTTTAAACCTGTTATCAATGAGTGAAATTCATAATGTAAACAGATTTATTAATCATTTACTGTATTAAATCTTATTTCATTGCTCCTGCACACGTTTTACGCTGAAGGACATATATGCAGAGGACGATCCTCCTAAACCTGCACTTCGTTTATTGAGTATCATTGGGTGTGCTGTATCATGTGTGTGTCTGGTCATCGCTATCGCGTCCTATCTTAGTGTCAAGTAAGTCACCCACAAAACATTGCTGTTCTTTTCTAACAACCCTCCCCTCATCCTCCAAGACAATTATATGATAATCAATCTAAATCAATAAATTTATACAGAAACAACTGTATTTAATCATGATAATGTACAAAAGCGATTGAAAATAAAAGAGTTGATAGTGAATCTTCGAACGGAATGAGTGATGTATATCAGTAAAACGATCAGAAAGATATTCGTCATTTCAATAGTATTTTCGGTACCCTTTTTATGCTCATATGCCGGCTTATATGCCTCAGGAATAATGATTATTCTGACTACGTAACACGTCATTTGAATGTTCACATATTTCAATAGATGATGTTTAAAGCAATTAAAGAGCAATCAAACAGTTCCGATTTGTACGACAAATAAGACAAATAAGAGAAAAAGAATAGTAAAAGTTTAAAGAAACATGTTGTTGTTGTTCGTTTGGTTTTATAATGGCTATTAGTCAAAATTGACTATTGTTGCCAATTTCATCGCATCTCTTTCTTTTAGTGTCTTGGTAAAATTATTATTTTTTCTTTCCTTTTCCAATCTCATTTTAATATAATATTAGTCATATTCTACAAAAAAAAAAAATTAAAAACAAAAAATTATTTCAAATTAAACCACGATCCGCACACAGTTCCAACTCACGCTGGCCCTGTCCTTTCTATGATGCCTTTTTACCAGCCCAGCGAGTTACGTTACGCCGTACGCTTCTCGGTTGATAAACTCAACCTAGGTCACTCTGGCATAGACAAGGGGGCGTCGTGTACCTGTATGTTTAGAGGGTTTATTTATTTATTAGGAGAAAAACAACTGCATAAGCAAAACACTTGTGGGCTTTATTAGTTTATATGAGTTAGTTCATGAGATTATTTATATAGTGCATGACTTTTAGCTACTATAATCATTCAAAGGGGGGGTGACATGCTTTCTTTTGTCACCCTGGCCAGCAGATTGTATCCTTCTCTCTCTCTCTCTCTCCTTTCCACTTCCCTAAAGATGTGTGTATGTATTAAGATATGTTTTCCGATTGGTCAAATAAATAATGATAAATTGTTTCAATTATTTGTTTGTTTTATTTTTATTTTTTAAATTAAAAGAGGCCTAAATAAGGTATAGGTCTATACGATCAAAACTTCAAATAATCAATACACTAATAGGCCTATAAGGTTATACACAAAATACCTATTTTCTCTTCTATTCAGCTCAAATTGATTGTGGTTTCTGTTTTTCATCTCTTTTTGATTTTACTTTTTACATAATCGCTTCGTTCTAAAAACGAAGCGAGCAATTGCCATTTGTACACGAGAGTCACTTTCTCGTAAACATATCATAATGTCCTCTTCCTTGGAAATATTAACAATCATAAGGGAGTTATGAAGATCACAAAATATATGTTAATCACAGATTATTATTTATATTTTATTTTATTTATTTATTTTTTTTTATTATTTTTTTTTATTTTATTTATTTATTTATTTATTTTTTATTTTATTTTTTTAGGGGGGGGGGGGGGTCCTATTTCATGCAAACTTTCGCTAGTCTGCTTCTGGTGTGCCTCTCCAAAACTTTGGAATAGCCTTCCACTAGACGAAAGAAAAGCCCCAACCGGCTGTGGCTGTCTGCAAAGTTTGTTGAAAACACACATGTTTTAAGAAGCATTTTGAATAAGTTTTGGTTGTGTGTCACTTTAAGATTTTTTTTTTCTCACCACAGTGCGAGACAGTATATTGCATAAGCCGCGCTGTAAATTTTTCGTATTATTGATGTTACAATCAACGAATGGCTGTTTTTTGTATCATGAACAGTGTCTTGAGAGTTTTCATTTGGGGATGAAATAGATGGGGAAAAATTATGTCGTATACAGTTTCAATGCACGGAACTGCAGTTTTTAGTACATTCAGATCAAAGAATTTTCGTTTATTTCTAGGAAGCAAAAACAACAACTAGCCAGACAAAACGTACTTACGATAATATCTTTCATCATCAGGAAGATACGAAGATCTCAGACTCACAAGATTTTCATCTGTCTTTGCACCACCCTGCTCTGTTTGTACACCGTCTCTCTCGCCATCATCGCTCTCGACACAGAGTACCAGCATGCAGAGGTCGAGAGGATACCGTGTACCGTCCTGGCGGCACTAATCCACTACTTCGTGCTCTCTTCGCTTACGTGGATGGGCATCGAGGGCTTTAATACTTATCTGGTCATCGTAAAAGTGTTTAATCCTTACATACCAAAGTTTATGATCAAAGCTTCGATTGTAGGATGGGGTAAGAACTATTGATTTTTCTTTATAATGCAACCAAATAATACACCTCTAGTGCGTATTATTAAACAAAACAATTGCAAGAGACTCGACCTTTATTGGTGTTTATAAGATGGTGATGTGGATCCTAATCAAATGATTGGTTGAAAGCGTACACGTGACCAGGCATTTATTTTGCCTAACGCATAATTTGGATAATGACCGGTCATTATCTAATTCTAATGACCGGTCATTTGTAAAATCATGTAATAAGACATCTTTTTTTTAAAACATATAAAACATAATCTTATAAAACAAATAATACACATCATTTAGGTCGGACATTAGTCAAATTACACACACTCGGTACCGTTCAAAACAGTTCAAACACCCTCGGCTACCGCCTTGGGCGTATTAGACTGTTCAACAGGTACCTCGTGTGGGTAATTCTTACTAATGCCCTCACTGATGTCGTTACTTGTATACTAGTTGACGATGCGGATCACCACAGACTTTTCAAGAACAGGCAGCGGTTGTTTTTATACTTGATTCCTTTATTCACTGTTTTGCTATTTGTCGTGCTAAAGGAGGATAGCCACGTCATCCCAACTCACCACATCATTTACAGGTACTATATCCCATTTGCAGGCCTAAAAAATGAAAAGGTTAAATTCCAATTTGAAAGATAATACCAATTTAGAACTTCCCTTAAAAAAGAAAGGGGGGGCTTGAAAATGTCTTTAGGTGGGAAAATAACGACTATTAGTTGTCGAATCGACTTAAGAGCTATAGAGCCAGTAAGTAATAGTAATATTTTGAGACCATTGTACCGAATGGTGGTACGTTTTTATCAGACCGCGTTTTATGCTGCGCAAAGATTCAATCAGTTTAATTTTGGCCATTAAAAGAAGTGGGTTATTGATGTAGATAAATGCTCATTTACCCTTTAAAGCTCATTTTATGTATGCTATTACCAAAGAAGAAAAAAGCCAGTCAGTCACTGAATAGTGTCTGACAGTGAAGTCTAGCAAGTAGACGGGTTTCCTTGCATAATTTGAATATTAGGACACTGCTAACGATTACATTTCACAGATAGGACAAACATGACATATTTATAATTCCTACAAGTTCTACAGAATTTGATTTTGGCTGCAAAAGGGACATATAGTATCTTTAATATATTGCCATCGGCTGCTGGTATTACTCTTAGAGGTGTTTCCCCATTTACCTAAGTTAATATTGCCTTTGTTGCAGACTGTCGCGCGTTAATGTTGTGCGTTGGACTGAACCATTGCTCCCTCCATACATATCATATGACTTTACCTGATCGTTGGGTGACAGTCTACTAATCGAGCTGTGGATAGTTATCAGACGTAGACTCTAAACTCTACATTCTAAACCCTACCCGCATCCCTCCCCTTACCCACCCCAACTTCCCCACCTCCCGAATGAGCAGGACCACATAGTGTAAAGCGGAAAACGCTTTGGGCAACTTTCAGTCTTTGTTTATTATTTGTTTATTTAATTTTTTGATTATTAATTCATTTTATATTTCTTTGTTTAAATATTCTTGTATTTGTTTTATTTTTTTAGTTTTATACTAACTCATAGGGGACATCTATTTTTTTTTCTTTTCTTTTGAAATTCAGGTATCCCGGCTGTGATTGTTGCCGCAACTGGGGGAATCACTAGGAACTATTATGCTGTCGAAGATTAGTAAGTTGAGCCATATTTGTACATGAGGAATCTTGCGAAAAAAATGGTAGTTGATGAAAGTTATTACTGCATTCACTTCGTGTTTATCTATGTATCGAAGTTCGAAAAAAATACTCCTACTACTTTGTATCAGCAGAATGGCTCTAGTACAGCTCTGGAATAGAGGAAACAACAACATTGCTTGTGCTTGACAATCATGACTAGGGTAGTGATTAAACATACTAATGCGTGGTAAACCTTGTTTTCTGTAGTCTTCTCCAAGCAATGTTACCTTTTCTCTTTATCTATATCCACAGTTGTTACATACGGAAGTGGCCCCTCATTGGTGGTCTCTTGGCCCCAATGGCTATCATCCTCATCATCAATATCACTGTGTTCATCCTGGCAATGTGTCGTCTGGAAAATTCTGCACGAATGGCAGGACGTGTGAAGAAGGACTGCAAGACCGAACGACAAGAGACCCGAGAACGGATCCAGAATGGCATCGCCATGTTGCTCCTACTTGGCTTCACCTGGACTACTGGATACCTGACCCTGATCAATGTGGACTACACTGAACTCCTTTTCATCGTCTTCAACTCCTTGCAAGGCTTCTTCATCTTCGTCCTCTATTGTCTTCGAAAGGAGACCATCAGGAAGCAGTGGCGCCGTTGTATCTGCTGTGCACTGTTGCGGGAAGGTGTCGGCGCTGAGTCCAAAGGAAATTCCGGACGAACACCAGGATTTATGAGTGGGACTGGAGGCTCTCAACCTATGTTTGAATCTTCGTCTGCCATATCTCATACCAATCCATCTTTTGAATACGCAAATTAGATACAAAACCATCAGGCTGCGATGATTAATGTGCGAACGATGTATCTCTAGTGACTAATTGCTAGAAAATGATAGTATAAACGAGCACAAAGACTTTGATTTAATCAGGGCAACTTTTATACCCTAATGCATGGCCTATTGAAATTATGTTCGGATTACGTAATATGGCACAGTCGTGTTCCTACATTTTAATATGTAACGCTCAAGTCTATTGCAATTGCCTGAAGTTGATTTTTTTTGGAAAGTCTTTGCGATCATGCTGCACATAAGTGAAATACTCAGAAATGTTATTAAAACGCTTCGTAACTTGTTATTTGCTGTTGGTGGTAGGGACTATCTGACTTAAAAAAAAGGATTATGTGTAAATGAACAGAGGTTGATACACAATCATGAATTATGTGAGTGTGGGGAATTTGTTTGAATAATAAATTGGGGCTTGGTAACACATTTTGTATAAACGTAAATACATTAACGTGAAAGGGTTGTAGAGGGGTAGTATGTTTGTTCGTTTTTTGCTTTATTGTTACACATTTCACGTAACAAGGTTGTCTCATGCATAATATTTAACAAGAGAATGCATACAACGATGATAGACATGTAACATAGATAAATGATGAAGTGAAATTATTAACAGCACAGCTCTTAAACTATAAGTTTCCGAATTAATTTAATATAAAATACTGATTTCTGATTTCGATAGCAAAAAAGAAAAACGTAATTATCCCCTCGCCGACGAAGTCGGAGGGGAAACAGTAACGCTGCCGTCCGTCCTTCCTTCCTTCCGTTCGTTCTTCCGTGCGTAACAAATTTGGTTTCCGATCGATAACTTCAGTAATGTTTGACGGAAATTAATAAAATTTGATATGAAGGTACATGGTATCAAAATACAGGCTAAGTATAATTTCGGAGTATGTAGGTCAAAGGTCAAAGGTCAAAGCTCATTAAATATGCCCCAAAATATGAATGGTATCAAAACACAGCCTAAGTTTGATTTCGGAGTATATAGTTCAAATGTCATAGCTCATTTAATATGCGAAAAATACACATCTGGTTTCCGATCGATAACTTTAGAAATGTTTGACGGATTTTAATGAAATTTGATATGAAGGTATATGGAATCAAAACACAGCCCAAGTTCGATTTCGGAGTATGTAGGTCAAAGGTCATAGCTCATCTAATATGCAAATCTGGTTTCCGATCGATAGGTTTAGTAATGTTTGACGGAAATTAATGAAATTTGATATGAAGGTACATGGTATCAAAATACAGGCTAAGTTCGATTTCGGAGTATGTAGGTCAAAGGTGAAAGGTTTTATCTCATTAAATATGCGAAAAAATACACATCTGGTTTCCGATCGATAACTTTAGTAATGTTTGACGGATTTAAATGAAATTTGATATGGAGGTGCATGGTATCAAAACACAGCCTAAGTTTGATTTCTGAGTATATAGTTCAAATGTCATAGCTCATTTAATATGCGAAAAATACACATCTGGTTTCCGATCGATAACTTTAGAAATGTTTGACGGATTTTAATGAAATTTGATATGAAGGTATATAGAATCAAAACACAGCCCAAGTTCGATTTCGGAGTATGTAGGTCAAAGGTCATAGCTCATCTAATATGCAAATCTGGTTTCCGATCGATAGGTTTAGTAATGTTTGACGGAAATTAATGAAATTTGATATGAAGGTACATGGTATCAAAATACAGGCTAAGTTCGATTTCGGAGTATGTAGGTCAAAGGTGAAAGGTCATAGCTCATTAAATATGCAAAAACACCTAATTACATATGTGAAAATGTGGTTAACTTCCTTGCCTAGTAATATAATAGTATAGTCTAATGGAGGTAACTTGTTTTGACGTATATAGGCCATTTGTACCCTGCGTTGACTTGTTAAAGTTTGAGTCACTGACATATTTGCATAAACATGTAGACAAGTTTTGCGGTCACAAATGAAAATACTTGATGCTGCAATAGGAATTTAGTTTAGAAGAAATGTCAAATATGACTTTTGTGCCTATTAAATTTATGTTGTTATTATGAATAAGAGATTTGAAATTCGAACGGATATTTTTTTGTTGGTACATTCTTTCATTTTGAAGCAATTCAAAACTTTGCTGAAAACATGAAGAGATGGAAAGGGTTTTTTTCGTCAAGTTTTTGTTTCACGTATCATTTTCTTCAGAAAACTTGTCATAGAGGCAATAGTCATATTCATTTTCCTTTTCAATATGCATGAGCTAGTTTCCGCTGATGCACATTCCAACTCCCCTTGTACGCCCAAAATACTGTTTTGTTTCTATTTTTTGTTGCTATCTTTTTGATAAATGTTTTCAGTTATTGTAAATTCTAAAATGTAAAGCGTATTGAGAGAGCTTTCTGTCCTGAAATACGCCTTTTTTTTTAAGTAGAAGACCGACATAATCATTTATTATAATTATTATGTTTACCCTTATTGTTATTGTTAATTTTTTTATATTTATTATGTATTCATCATTATTATCATTAATACTCATAATGGTGTTTTTATTATCATCTTTATCATTATTATATGTTTTCTTCAATTATTACTTTTTTACTTAATGCTATTATTCTATTGGATTTTTCGGCTTTCTAGGTTAAGAATAGATTAAATATCCTCTAGCTATGTCGAGTGATTTGTTGAGTAGAGAAGTTCCCGTACCAGCCAATACCTACATGCACATTGCTGTAAATAAAATAAATACAATCATTTTGTCTTGTTACCATTAAATTTCATATGATATACAGAGTCTATAATATTTACGTTTAGCAGTTCAGTAAATCTATATACCTTGTAGTGCTTAATCATTATACCATGGATGATTAGACGTAGAGTACTAGTACAATAAGATAAATATAAAGGTAATTTGTATAAAACTGTAAACCCATCGCGACGATGGTGGATACGTGTTCATGAAAGTTATGTAATCATTTTTCATGTATGCTCTGGCGGTACATTTTATGATAAACAGGCGGCTGGTATTATTTTCAAGGGTGCACATTAATGTATTTTGATATGTTTAGCTTGGCAAATAAAATAAAATCAACTCATATCAACCTCAATCACCCCCCAGTTGGCAGTGATTATTCTAACATGCGCACAATGGGACGTAAGCCTCCATGTATCAAAGATCTGATATTTGGGGGTAAATTTGTTCCAGTGCTATATCCGAAATGGCTTATCATAATTAAACCGTTTTCGTTACATAACTCAATCTAATGCATACATCTTTGTAATGTGTGTCGATACGAATTATTTCTTTAATCTGATACGAACAATTATATTTCAATAATCAGGATATAAACTACATGTACATACATTAGTTGTTGCCATGCAGAAACAAACATTTTGGCTTGCCCTATCCAACAACACGTAACATGCATATTGCATTATGATTATTGAAGTACAATTATTCATTACAGGTGAATAAAATATTTGTATTGAGGCACTTCACAAAGACGTATGCATTACATTTAATAAAATTATGAAAATGGTCTATTAGGGTAAGCTCATTCATTATTTAAAGTTGTTCATAATAAGTCGTCTGTATTTACCATTTTCAGTTTCGCCTTGATCTAACCTCTTGCCTCTCCCATTGTCGCTGAATGTACTTCTTAATAGTGTTAACACGGGTATGTTTAAAAAAATTGTATTTAATGCAATTTATTCTCAATACAGAGTAATTATGCCTATTTAAAACTATTACGCGCTGAAATGTGAGAGCAAAAAACGTCTAGAATCACCCTTGTCTCTGGCTTCTAGTTTTATATTTCCCTTTTTTCCCCTAATGAAAATCCTTTTGCATACTATTATACAATTTATTTTTCAAGCATGATTCCGGATTTACTCTTTGTTGGGGGGTACAATGACCCATAAAACGCACATGCTACATAAAGAGATCTCATTGACGATGCCCAAAACTAACACTTTGATGAATGCAAACGCCTTAACACAAACTCACCCTCCCCTTACTAAATTAAGCACAATGTTCATTTCACGTTTCTTCCTTCTTTCTTTCGTTCCTTCGTGCTCTCTCTCTCTCTCTCTCTCATTCTCTCCCCTCTATATCCCCCTATCTCTCTCTCTCTCTCTCTCTCTCTATATATATATATATATCTCTTCCCTTCTATTCCAATCTTATCCCTTCTTTCCCTCTCTTTTTTGACCTGCTTAGGTTCGAAGTTGAAATCAAATTAAAACGTTTAGATACACGGATGGGATGGGAAAGAAATAAAAGACAATGAGAGAGAACGAGAAAGATATAGGGGGACGAGAGAGAGAGAGAGAGAGATAGAGTGTGAAAAAGAGAGAGAGAGAGAGAGAGAGAGAGAGAGAATGAGAAGGGGAGAGATAGAGAAAGAGGATCGAGGCCAAGGATAAAGCGTTTTATTCAAGATGATGAACGTGCACCTATGTCATGTATATTATGGTACCTCATTTTATACACTTTAATTATCTTCTAAATGTACATTATATCTCCGTTTATTTCATAAAATTCAGCTTTGAACCGTTGTCTATTTGTTTATATAAGTTTTTTTGTTGCTAATTTTGAAATTACTAGCAAAATAGTCTAAATGTGTAGATTGTATTGATTTTCTTCTCTTCTCCTGATTTCATTTAAATTTTTTTTTTATTTGGGTAGGTCATCAAATGAGTAATATTTTTGCGCGCTTGAAATTTGACACCAGGTGTGGCCAATTAGCATATTATAAAGAAATACATTAACAATATTCTTATCACTTCTCATTCATTAACTACTTGCTGGATCATGTTCAAACTTTGAAAAAACAATTATCTTTCTTTTGTATGATTTTTTAATGATATTTTTTTGACCAATCATATTTAAGAGTACCTAATTATATATTCATAAGCTAATTATGAAGAAAGAATTGCTAATTTTTTTTAATTAAATAATTAATTGACAAGAACAGTCATTCAACATTGTATACTCTCACAATCCATATTTCAATCACTAAATGCAACTAAAAATCTTACTTTTGATAAAACAAAGAAGAAGAAAAATCTCCATTTTACATACATACACATGTTGACGACAAACTGAAAAAATTCAAATGTCGTAATTTCTAAATTTGTTAATCAATTGTTTAGAGTAAGATATCAATCTAAAGATCTCTTCCTGCTCCACAAGAATCACTCAATGTAAAGTTGTTTGCTGCCATCTGTGGGTGAGGGCCTGTACAACATTCGTTTCTCCGCTGAGCTGAGTCAACATTTTCAGTATTTCTACACACTATTTTGTATTCGCTAAAATGGGTCGAAAAAGTCCAAAAGAGGAATGGTTAGAGCTAGATGGGGTGACTTGAAAAAAGCCAGGATTAATGAAGAACCAAGCCCTCCAGAGCCTCTGAGAGAAAGCTGAAAAGCTAAATAACTCCCCAAAATTCCTCGACTGGTCCCACACAGCTAGATCCATGTCAGTCGCTTGAAGGTCATTCTTTTAGACAAATTTAATGTCTTTGAACAACTATGTAAGGTATTTCGAGTCCATTGTTTTGCAACAAACACAGGAATCAGCTTGACTTAATATCTCTGAATCAAATTGAATACAAATGTAATAAATGATTTTGGACCAATTTTGTTTGCATTAAACAGGGGTATCTCCCTTCTCTAATTAGAGTTGTGGTGAGTTGCCTCAAAGAGGCACTCGCAATAAC